TCCGCCAACGAAGTTGGCAGAAGTTATGTTTTTTCCCCTGTTTATTTATTTATTTATTTGTCTGTTGGCATATTTGTTGTGAACAGCCTACAGTCCATAGTTTTTATCAGAAATTCTTAAAACTTGGCCACAATGTTCCTTTACCTAAGATCTAGAGCTGATTATATTATGAAGCGTCAGGGTTAAAGATCAAGGTCACAATCAACAAAAACTTTTTTTATGTATTTGTGTAAAGCCCATAGTTTTAGTCACAAACTTGTCACAATGTTCCGTGACCAAAGATCTCAAAGTATTTGAATGTTGAAGGGTAAGGGTTAAAGGTCAAAGTCACAATCAACAAAAAAATGATTTTTGAAACAGACGTTTTTATCAGAAATTTGTCAAACTTGGCCACAATGTTCCTTTACCATGCACCAGAGATCTGGAAGTGGCTACATTTTGAAGGGTCATGGTCAAAGGTTAAGGACACAATGATCGAAAACTTGTATAACTGTTTGCTGTATTATAGGGGTATGTATGCTGTGTGCTTATACGGGCTCACGTGACCATTAATTTCAAAGTGATTTATGTGAAAACAGTTTGATGTAGTGGTAAGAAAAGTGCTCTCCACACTACCATCTCCGGCTTCAAATCCCAAGATGTCTACTTGTTATTTTTTATTTTCATTATTTCTTTTTTATGGGGACAATATGCGGGGAAATTTATACTCAGGAGAATTATGTGGGCGGAGATATGCTTTCTTCGAGTGCCCTCTAGTTGAATATATATTTGCCTATATCACCATTGATTTTCATTACTCTGTGTGGCACCGTAAACACAATTAAAACAAATATATAAATAACAGTGCTCGAATAGGAACATGTGTGAGCGTTTCAGTCAGTTGTATGAAAGAAAGTGTCTGGGGCTAAGATTGCCAGTGGCGTAATTCCTAGGGGTTAGTTCTAGGCGTTCTTTGTGGTCTCATGACAAAAGAGTTGAACCATGATCCTAAAATTGAAAGGCAATCATCTTCAACACCAAGTTACACCTCAGATATACTTATCAAACTTCATCAATGAACCTACTGATTTTTATTCAAATTTTGCATTTTATCGTGCACCATGATATAATACCCTTCTATTCCAAATTAATAATTACACACATACTGTTTGCCTTGCCTCTACCAATAAAAAACTGTTATATAGCAAATAATAATTTAATTGCACGATAAATCAAGTTGTAAATTTAATGATTCCAACTTTGTTTTGGAGCGAAATACAATTGCATCTGAGAGCCACATTGTCAGTTGTATTCACGCTTCATGTATATACAATGTATTGAGGACGTAATACCGGTAGCATCACACCAGCCAATCAGTAGCATTATTTAAATGTACACAAGTGGTGGTGGTGGTGCGGCGCACAGTATAAATGCAGTCCACAGCGCGTGGTTTACTCTTTCCACGCTTTTTATCCAGAGCACTGTGTTTCACTTTGTGCATATAAAGTTTGCTTGGAATTGTAAGTTGGTATTAATTAATTACTTTTGTCGGTGAATTAACCGGCAGAGTACGGTAACATTTGGTAGAATGGGTGCAATGGGTGCACATGCCCAAAATCGAAATACGTCCGTGTAGTCCGATGGTTAAGCTAGTAGACTTGGTTTTGGGGGTTGTGTTCTGTAAATTTTAAAGTATGAAGTTCTCTTTGAACAGATCAAACCGAATGATGATGCGTCTTGTAGTGTTATCATTGGCTGTTGTAGCTATCGTTGCAAATCCTGTAATACTGAAGTTGGACGATGAATGGGCCACGTGGAAATCAACGTATAACAAAGTGTATGAGCATGGAGAAGAACAAGTTCGGCAGTTAATTTGGGAAGAAAATTTTCGAAGTGTTGCCAAACACAACCTTGAATATTCTATGGGCCAACGCTCATTTACACTAGGCATGAACAAATTTGCAGATATGGTAGGACATAATTTTATAAGCAATGGTTTGTTGATTAAAATCCTAATGGAACGGACTTATTTCTGCTAAACATTTGGGAATTGGTAAAAGATAATAATTTCTACTACTCCTATGTCGTTGTTAGGAATGCTGAACCTAATATTTATTTTCTTGTCTTCAACAGAAAAATGAAGAATTTGTTGCGATATTAAGAGATTTGAGAAAAAGTAATAGGACTCGTGCTTCATCCTTCGTGTCAGCAAGCTTCATAAAAGTTCCAGATGAGATTGACTGGAGAGATCATGGTTGTGTAACCCCTGTCGAAACCCAGGTAGCTTAACGCGATTTGTTAATATAAACAAAGTACAATCATTGCTGAATACCGTGCATTTTGTTGTAAATTCAATTATTATTTACGGACAATTTAATTCATCAGGGTATGTGTGGCTCCTTCTGGGCCTTCAGTGCCACTGGATCTCTCGAATGTCAAACATTTAAGAAAACCGGAAAGCTTCCCATTCTCAGCGAGCAGAACCTTATAGACTGCTCAGAAGCTCAGGGAAATCACGGATGCCAGGGAGGTACAGTAGATCAAGCGTTCGAGTATGTGATGAAAAATGGAATCGACTCTGAAAAATGCTATCCATACATAGCTGTGGTAAGAATTTGATTATCAAATGTTGGCTACCACTAATTTACGACCGTGCATTTCTTGCCATATAAATACCACTATTTAAAATGGTACATTGGATATGCATTTTCATTAAGTACATGCCAAAACCGTATGTCATTTAAGCTTTCCTCCTAATTTCAATAAGGGATTCGATCTTTCGGTTTGTTCAACTGCCTGCTGTTATAGGTGTAGAGTATTTACAGACATTGCTCGAGTATTTTTTTAGTATCGCCTTCAGCTTGATAGGCCTATGTTTTTCAAATCTTCCTTGGCAGTTAGATTGGCAGATTCTTTGAATTTCCGTTTCATTCCGTTGCTGTTATTACAACATTATTACCATTATAAATGAATTTAATTTGTTTTTATGTCAACAGCAAAACAAATGCAGTTTCGATGGATCTTGCGTGGCTGCTCGTTGTACCGGATACGTTGACCTACCCCCTGGAAATGAGGTTGCTCTAAAGGAGGCTGTTGCATCTGTCGGTCCCATTTCGGTTGCCATTGACGCTAGTCGCGCGTCTTTCAAACTATATACATCTGGTAAGTTTTAAGACCAATTTCGTTTTATGGAATTACAATTCCATAAAACGAGTAGCCCATAGTAGGTAGAAAAGTAAATGAAATGCCCTTTTATCGTTAAAATTATGGCGACGATTGAAAAACACGGGTCTACACAATTTTAAAAGGGAAATATGCGGATATTTGCGTGAACTTTCGTAAATAATGACCACCTCCATTTAAAATCATTAGGCTATATTATATTTCATGATACGCTTTTATGTTGCAGGTATTTACAATGAACCCGAATGTAGCTCGACGAGTTTGAATCATGCCGTTCTTGTTGTAGGCTACGGTACTGACGCTGAATCTGGATTAGATTACTGGTTGGTGAAGAACAGGTAACATTGGATTGTGAATAAATTTCAAAAAGTACACTTTAAATGTAAATGTATCCTAATTCCTAGCGTTTCTTTTCAGTTACGGAACCACATGGGGCATGCAAGGCTATATGAAGATGCTACGCAACAAGAACAACCAATGTGGAATCGCCAGTTTAGCTAGCTATCCTCTCGTCTAACCATTTACATAGATTTAAAATCTGTAGGCCTACTTTCAATAAAAAGTGTATCCTATTGATTTGTGCACAATAAATTAACGCAAATATATAATTTGTTTTCGCTTCGTTGTACTTTGCACATAGGCATATGATGCATCAGATGCAATTTGTATTCCACAGGCCAGAAGTAAATTTTCCTAAAATGGTAATCTAAAACAGTAATGTTGGTAATCTAAAACAGTAATGTTGGAACGCGCACCTAATCCCTCTAATAATAATAATAATAATAGAGCCCTACACACAATGCTTTAGCCAGGATTTCAATCGGTACGGGACAATATCGGGCTGACAGTGGCGGATCTAGGATTTAGCAATGGGGATGGATAATGGGAGGGTGGGGGTGGGGTATCTGTGACGTGGTTTTAGCAAGGGCGCAGTTTGTGATTGAAACATTGGGGCCACCATGGTTGGGCTTGAGGCGAGAACATTTTAGGAAATATACCTCCTAGATAGCCGGAAATTCAAAATGAAGTGCCAACAAATTTCTCATCTTTTACCAGCGATTTTTGGAAACTTTAGAAATCTAATAATATGAAAAAATATTACCCCTAGATGTCCAGAAATGTCGCTTATATTCATCATCACATCACCATTATATAGTCAAAATGCAGTGCCAACACATTTTCATGTTTTACCAGCCATTTTCGGCAACCATAGAGATGTAATTACCATGTGTGATGCATCATAGAAAGTGAAACTCTTAACTTCAAAGCCGTGAGTTCACACCTTGGGGCATTTCGTTAAAACCTGGGACATTTTATGCAGTTCATTTCAACAATTTTCTACATTGCGAATAAAAAATGAATTAATTCTCCCCCCCCCCCA